TCTTGAAACAAAGAATTAAAATCATCTGCAAAACAAATATGAGTAATATTATTCCTGGAACACCTTGGATGATGATTGAAGTCTGGATTGTCTTTTAGCTTCTTTAGAGCTCTGTTCAGGTACTCCATCACAAGCACAAATAGGTAAGGAGACATTGGGTCTCCTTGCCTTAGCCCTTTCTTCCCTTGGAATCTGTTTGTTAACCCTCCATTTAGGATCAAAGAATAACTAACAGTAGTTACACATACCATAATCAGCTCCACAAACTTCACAGGCATACCATACTCTATCAATATCATTCTAAGGGAAGGCCATTCAACTGAGTCATAGGCTTTCCTGATATCTATCTTGATACAGCATCTTGGTGACACTCCCTTCTTATTGTACTCTTTTACTATCTCATGTGCTATGATCACATTATCCAGTATGTTCCTTCCTTCAATAAAAGCTGACTGTGATTCTCCTACAATTGAGTCTACCACCAGTTTCAATTTTGCTGTGATGATTCTTGATATGATCTTGTATATAGTTGTGCAGCATGCAATAGGTCTAAACTCTTTGACTGAGTTTGGGTTGGCTACTTTTGGGATCAGTGTTAATGTTGTATAAATACTGGAACTATTTATACAATTTGCATTTTATAAATGTGAATTCATAAAAATCTCGAGTCTTCAAAAAGTGTTGGTTATTTTCTAAAATTTATTAAAATCCTTATTTAAGATTTTATGATCACCTACAACAAAACTTGTCGTGAGATAAAAAAATAAATCGATTAGTAAAACGAAGCATACATGATGCATTATATTGTAAACATTTTTAATATACCTCCCTTACAATATTTGCAAAAATACTTTTTCATTTTATTCCATTTCAATTTAGTGCGTAGCCGTGCAATCGTTAAAACACTTTATTTTTTTTACTAAATATTATATATTATCGCAATCTAAAACATGAGAATTATATATATGAAAAAGTTAATAAATATAACAAGTTTTAAGGCCATGGATTTTGCAAGTTATAATTTATGGACACGTGTGTTGCAATGTAAATAAATACTAGTAGTGATGTGAAAAATAAAGAAATTACAATGGTAAAAATGACTTAAATTATTTATACAATATGCATTTGACAATAGTCAAAGCT